CAATTAAACTGATTGGTCTAAAGTCTCTCAATTCCTTCGCACCACTCTTTTTTAGGATGAGAGCTATGTATGTTGCATTAAAGCTCATTTCAAAAAACTCCTGGAAGTGAAAATTCTGCATAGTAGACATCAAATCCCCCTTCACTATCTCCCAACAATTACAAAAAACCCATTGTGTATCCATCTGGACCTGGTGCTTTGTCTACATCACAAGCTTTAAGTCCAAGAAGGACCTCCTCTTCTTCAAAAGGCTTTTGTAGTTCTTGTTGCTCCTCAAAGCTGATGGAAGGACACTGGTTCATGTTAAAGGATGGTCTCCAGTTCTCATTTTCCTTGTACAACTTCCTATAAAAAGAAATAATTTCTGTTTTGATATCCATAGGATCCACCAGTTCTTGATCATCTACCACCAATTTATCAATATGGTTGAACCTCTTATGAGTATTTGCCATTCTCTGAAAGAACTTTGTATTTTTGTCCCTTTGTTTTATCCACAGAGTTCTAGATCTCTGTCTCCAAGCTATCTCTTCCTTTTTTGCGTACTCTTCAAACTCTTTTACCACACTTGCTTTTTAAAGAGTCTCTTCTTCAGTTAAATGCCTGGACTGTTGAATGTTGTCAAACTCATGAACTCTGTTGAGCATTTCCTTCTTTCTTTTTCCAGGTTCCCATAGGTGCTTACACTCCAGTCTTTCAGTTTAATCTTCATAGCTTTCAGCTTGGAAGCTAGGATGAAATCAGGCTTCCCTTCGAATTCAAAAGATGTCCACCAATCTTTAATTCTTTCATAAAAACCCTCGATCTCCAACCACCATCCTTCAAATTTGAAATATGATTTTGTATGACTCCAACGACCACTTTTAAGTGCAATTGGTGCATGATCGGAACAAACTCTAGGTAGTAGTTCTTGCTTCACATTGCAGAAACTCTCCCCCCATTCAGAGGAGTACATAATTCTGTCTATCCTCGAAACAGCTTCCAGGTTGGATCCCCTGGCCCACGTGTAGTTCCCCCCTTCAAGTAGTGGATCAATTAGCTCCATGTCCTCAATAACATCAGAAAAATCATTCATGTACACAGAGGTTCTGGAGCAGTTCCTCTTTTCTGAAGCATATCTAACAATATTGAAATCACCCCCAAGAACCCAAGGCCCTGTAAATAAACTCCTGACAACCCCTATCTCCCACCACACCTCCTGTCTTTCTAAGTTGCAAGTTGGTGCATATACCCCTGTCATGTGCCAAGTGAAACCATTTACCCTTGATTTAAAACTGCAAGTCAAGGTGTATGAACCTATCTCCACTACTTCCCCTTCCCAAACATTGTTGTCCCACATCATTAAAATGCCTCCCCTAGGGCCACTAGCCTGCAGTTCCCCATATTTGACCCCTCTTTTTCCCCACACTTGTTTAATTTCCTCCCCACTATTTCCTTCAAGCTTTGTCTCCTGTAAGCAGATCACATTCATTCTTTAAAGAATGAACTTTAAAGATAAGGTAAAATGTGAATTGGAAAATGGTGAAAAATGTAATTTCATTGATGAGGAAAATGAAAATTTATGTGCTTATTTATAAAGAAAAAAATCATTTCTTCTAGTTCTAAAGAGTTGATAATAGAGTCTATCATCGTTATAGTTACTCGGATTTCAATTTAGTCAAATAATTGATTCATAATTTTTTTGGACAATTTTTTTTTTCATTTTTGATATTTAATTTCCTTTTCTAATATCAATTTATGCGAAATTTGTGAAATTATTTTTTCCAATAAAATTTATTTAATACTCGCGAATTTATTTAAGCGAAAAATTCCAAAATAGCTTCTAAGTTAAAGCTATTGGCCGATATGTTAACCCTACCTTGGCGATTTAATTTTCTTCACTTGATAATTCACAAAGTATTATAGCTCTCTCTTTTGAAGTTAATTTGTTGCATTTTCTTTTTCAAAAAATATGGCTCTACCAAACCAACAAATTGTAGATTATCTAAGCTTCAAGTTCGTCATGGTGGATGATGGCAAAATAACTTTTGGTTAGAAGGCATCTCAATGATGAATTTAACAATACAAATTTAGTATCGATATAGTCTAAAAAGCATGAAATGAATGTGGTGTTGGTGAACATTTGGATCTCTGCCTCAAATGCATGTGGTCCAGACGAACATTCTTCTCAATAGCCTAGAGGAAAATGTGATAAATATACACCATGAGTATGTATGTATATGGATCAATAGTAAAAACAAAATCGTGTTAAAACAACAATCTCAACCAGTGTTTTAAAAGATTCGGTTGGGACTCGTCTCAGGGCTCGCCCTAGGGCCAGTGGCGGAGCCAAGATTTTCGCCAAGGGTGTTCATACTTTAGGACAGGTAAAACATAAACCTTGCTAGTCAGATTATAAAGATTGGCTTCAAAATAGTCATACCTCAATATCAAATTAACCAAATATCCAAAATGAAAATTCTAAAACAGAAACTTACAAAATATCAAATGGAATAAACTAAAGGAAGAATGAAGTAGGACAAATATATTGACGGATAGTTTCATACACACCAAAATATGTAAATTGTAAAGTGGTAACTACAATTGCACTCGATGACACTTCATCTCTTGAAATGTTTTCATAATACACTCATTAGAAACATCTTTAAATACTTTTTTCTCTACATAAGGCACTATGCAACCATTTAAATAGACTTTTGTTTCCTTTTGTTTTTCTTAACTTAAAAAAGGTAACTTTTGTACTTTTTCTTAAGAGAAAAACGGAACAAATATTAAATAAATGAAATGTTCAAGCCTGGGATCGAACCCAGGCTGAGTTTTGCCTTTTCTAAGAGAACAAACGGAATAATGAAAAAATTTAAAGAAAACGTCAACACTTGGGCTCGAACTTGGAACGCTGAGGCATCTTTGCACAACCTTAACCGCTAGGCTGTCAACTTTTATTGTGTCAAGGTTGTTCAACAGTTGGTATATATCCAAAAAACTCGACATTTAGTATATATACCCGTAAAAATTTTCCGACGAAGGTTGTTCATCTGACCACCCTCACCATGTCGTAGCTCCGCCTCTGCCTGGGGCGGGGCTCTAGAAAAACGCCCCGAGACTCAAGTGTGGGGCTTAGTTCTGTAAGACTTACGCCCTAAGCGCCCGACTATACACCCTAAGCACGCCCAACGGCTAACGCTCGGGGATCACCTAATAGATCTTATGTGTTAAATCTTTAGTTAACATTGTTGACTCTCATAATTCTTGAATAAATGAATGATACTTAATAATTTTTTTAATCTATAGAGATAAGAAGATTGACAGTAACTCAAATAACAAGTTGTAGTATCACATCTTTACTATTTGGTAACACTGTGAAGGTGATTATTTAGTACGTAACATTTTTTAAAAAAATACGTAATGAAGTTTTACTTTTTCACTTATCGTTGATCTTCATGGTTTTGTCATATAGCTCAAAATTATTATATTTTATTTAGCTATTTGAAAGTAATATTTTTTTTACATGATGAAGTGATGTTTTTATTATAATATTAGCAAGTTTTATTGATTATTTTCTTTTCGGGGGGTAAATTGTATAGTATGATAAAAAGTATTTTTAGAAATAATGATTCTTTTGTTATTAGAAAGTTAAGATATTAG